GCAATGCTTTTCTTTCCTTATTAGTTTTTTCATGCATGAGTACATTTTACATACATTTTTACAGTACGATGGCTCATTGTTCGATGTTGGCATTTCCTGCCTAAATTTGCCCACTTTGTCAATGAAGTAATCATTAAAATAATTGCCAACATCAAATGGTTTTGTGATGAATAAGCCATCTGATTCGATGAAAGATGGGAGTTGAATTTGTCTTTCTGCCCATAATTTCATTGAAAGTACTCCAAAGATGTTTTTCTCCATCATTCTTTATATCATTGATCTCGGCTTCATAATACAGTTTCTTCTTCTTTTTGTTGAGTTTAGTCACATAATTTCTCGATCTGCAGTTAGTCAGCCAGTCAGATGTGCAGCCAGACTTATTAGCCACTCCTTTTGTCCCATCTCTTTCAACCATACCGTTTTTCAATTCCTCATCAATCCATGGAGCCTTAACAGTTCTAACAGTCAGTTTCTTAACAGGTGCATGTTTATCAATAATTGGAAGAAGCAATTTCATAAATTAATCAAGTGCAGCGTCTGGATTCTCATCCACATAAGAGTCACAGCAAAATATTTTGTATATCAACACTAACATTCTTATATCAACACAAACATTCTTAGTGAGATTTGAACTCTACATTCCAGAGTGGTTAGGAGGAGAGGAGGTTTCCCAGTTCAGCGGTGGTGGTGAGGGAGTATTTTACTGCCTGCCTTTTTACATGACCCCCCCAAGGGGTTGGCCCACAGACCTACACCCTCCCCTAACACCATACAGCCTGACTCAGCTACCAGGCTAATAGCCTTGAACTGACTCTAATCAGCCAACAGAGATCTTGATAAGTGCATTTTTCAATGTAGGACCTTGATAAGTGCATAATCCAACTGTAAGTCGCTCTGGATAAGAGCGTCTGCTAAATGACTAAAATGTAAAATGATTATGAGTCTTTGGGCCAACATAAATATTCTGCTCCACTGGGCAACAGGCTCTCTGAGGAGGAAGACTACTCTATGCCCCCCTGGTCGAATTGAGAACAGAGGGTGAGGCTGTGAAATACAGTGTGAGAGACGGAATGGCCAAGTCTTAGCCAGTGGAGAATGTAAGGGGACACATGAAGGGGACAAAGAGAGAAACCGACACAGAACAGAATTGCATGAAGGAAATGGAGACAATTCAAAAGAGTGACAGTTATTTGAGAGACAGTAGTACCGTACCGGACTGCTGTTTTGACCTCTGCAGCATTGTGTATGTGATTGTCCTGGTGCAGGTAGCCATATTTCTCCAGGAAGCCCTGCAATAAATGTCACATCATTATTTTTCATGAGACTCCCACAGTTACTTGGTATTTAAACATGATGAAATCAGACACCAATTTGCCTCAGCCTTGTAAACTTCAACTATTTCCTTAGGGCCTCTCTACATGTCTTTAAAAAGACAAATGGAAAAATATTTTTCCATTTCATGTTAGTCACTGTCAGGTAGTAGCATGCTAACGTTCCCCCTCATCCCTCTGTGTAACTGAGGAGAGAGTTGCTGGGCTCCGGAACACCCATCTAACAGAGAGAGAGCAGAGAGACCATCAGTTATCAGGTTCTAACCGCTGGGCTTGATGTTAACAACAGGCACCAACAGGAAGAGGTATGATTAGAGATGTGGTGGGGAGGAAATAAAAAAAATCTACAGATCAGAGGTGCTAAATACTCTCGGCTGGCGAACGGTAGACAATCCTGTGTGTGTCCGACCCCTTACACACGGGGAATGTGGAGAGAAAAGTTACATTGTCCTTAACATCTTGGTAGAATCAAACCACATTCTTCATTATACTGGAATCCACTTTTAGCTTTTGCCTGTGTAATACAATATCAGTTGTCTTCTGATTCAAATGATTTGCCTCATTTAATTGCACAACACAGCAATTTAGTAGTTTATAAAACCAGATATACCACAGATTTGGTTTCATACACCTATTTTGCCTCAGTACTACGCAATTAAATTACACTGAACAAAAATATAAAACGCAACATGTAAAGTGTTGGTCCCCAGTTTCATGAGCTAAAATAAGAGATCCCAGATATTTTCCATACGCAGAAAAAGCTTATTTCTCTCAAATGTTGTGCATAAATTTGTTTACCTCCTTGTTAGTCAGCATTTCTCCTTTGCCAAGATAATCCATCCACCTGACAGGTGTGGCATATCAAGAAGCTGATTAAACAGCATAATCATTACACAGGTGCACCTTGTGCTGGGGGCAATAAAAGGCCACTCTAAAATGTGTAGTTTTGTCACAAAACACAATGCCACAGATGTCTCAAGTTTTGAAGGAGCATGCAATTGGCATGCTGACTGCGGGAATATCCACCAGAGCTGTTGCCAGAGAATTTAATGTTAAGTTCTCTTTCATAAGCCGCCTCCAACGTCGTTTTAGAGAATTTGCCAGCACGTCCAAATGACTTCACAACCGCAGACCACGTGTTACCCAGGACCTCCACATCTGGCTTCTTCACCTGCAGGATGGTCTGAGACAGTCTCAGGGAAGCTCATCTGCATGCTTGTCATCCTCACCAGGGTCTTGACCTGACTGCAGTTCGGCGTCGTAACCGACTTCAGTGGGCAAATTCTCACATTTAATGGCCACTGGCATGCTGGAGAAGTGTGCTCGTCACAGATGAATCCCGGTTTGGCAGTATGTCCAACCGGCCTCACAATTGCAGACCACGTGGTGGGGGCGAGCAGTTTGCTGATGTCAACGTTGTGAACAGAGTGCCCCATGGTGGCGGTGGGGTTATGGTATGGGCAGGCATAATCTACAGACAACGATGGCATTTATCGATGGTAATTTGAATGCAGAGGTACGGTGACGAGATCCTGAGGCCCATTGTTGTGCCATTAATCTGCCGCCATCACCTCATGTTTCAGCATGATAATGCATTGCCCCATGTCGCAAGTGTCTGTACACAATCCCTGGAAGCTGAAAATGTCTCAGTTCTTCCATGGCCTGCATACTCACCAGACATCACCCATTGAACATGTTTGGGATGCTCTGGATCGACGTGTAAGACATCGTGTTCCAGTTCCCACCAATATTCAGCAACTTCACACAGCCATTGAAGTGGGACAACATTTCACAGGCCACAATCAACAGCCTATCTGTGACTAACAGATGCATATCTGTATTCCCGGTCATGTGAAATCCATAGAATAGGGCCTAATTAATTTATTTCAATTGACTGATTTCCTTGATTAACTTTAACTCAGTAAAATCTTTAAAATTGTTGCATTTATATTCTTGTTCAGTGTACTGAAACAGTATAACAAATTGAGTTGGGTAAAACATTTAAAGTGTTAGACTATAATTTAGGTTTGAAAACTGAACAAGAACTGTAATGAAGGTGTTGTAGGCAGTCAGTATAACCACAGTGGAATAGGATGCACATTTTCATTTGGGTATTTATACCTGCCAGAATTTAGCTGTGGAATCTTGCTGGAAGGTAAAATGCCTGCTTGATAGAAAATACTCACCAGGTCACATAGGCAAATTAATAAATCGACAAAACCCATCCATCCCTGAGCACAAGACGTTGTAAAGACATATGAACGTCTTGTGCTCATGCATTAGATTCTAATGGATTTCACTCCGACAGCCATTTATTCTTTGGTTTTCCATTATAGCTCAATCTGAGGTAGCCTGCCTATCCCTCTAAAAACAACCACTCTAAATTCACAGTTGCAGTGGGCGTATGCTTCCTGGCTCAATTTAGGAGAGTCAAATTACTATATGAATTCATCTCTACGCGCCATATACTAAGGCTGCGTTATTTATTATTTATTTACACAGGCAGCCATTCAGATCATTTTTTTCACTAATTGGTATTTTGACCAATCAGATCAGCTCTGAAAAAGATGTGAAAAGATCTGGGAATGGCTAAAAAATACATAAAATGAATTGGCTGCATGTGTAAATGCAGCGTTTGTGTTAGAATACATTCTCAAAAATAGTCTACTTCTAACGTTAAGTTGTAAACATTTTAGAAAACTTAACGTACCTCAGCGGTCTCGACCCGCCAGTCCGTTGCCACCGGTGTGCAAACCGTTGACTTTATGAGTATCAGCGCAGTTATAATACATGCACCTATATCCCACAATTTATTCTGGTCCGGAGAGAGTCGAAAACTCATTGTATGACACTTGTAATACAATTAGACTAACCACACAGCCATCATAACCATACATTTAAATCCAAATAAGATATTTCCAAGTACTGCTTGTCTAATGTGCAACCAGCAGGGATATATCAATGTTTGTGATCCCTGTGCTGTGTAGGCTACACCGGCACACTAGCCACTCCTGTCCCAGTCATTTTGCACACATAGGGGAGGGACAGTACCGCCCACAGCTCAAGGGCTGGATGAGAGCTGAAAGCAAATACTGTACATTGAGAGCATGTGAAAACTTCCCTTCTCTTGGCACGTTGTATAGGCTACCTCAATATTGTTCGAATTAATTGACCTACAGATATTGAAAAAAGCTGACATGCTTTCTTAAATGCTAGGGTATTACATTGCTAATATTTTACAACTTAGCAATTAATACCAACACATTCAACAAATCATGTAGATTCCCACTAGAACTTTGAATTAAAACATACATGAAGACACTAAGATCGGAACAGTTTAATATCATTTGGAAAAAAGAGAAACCCAAGTAAAACAGTTCATTTCAATTTTACAAAACAATGATACGAAGTCTTAGATAAGTCTACCTCACGATGCCTGGACCAAGTAGAATCGGGGAAATGAAAATAAACAAAAAAACATGACATTTGACCCTGCCCACTTCTACACCAACAACCCTGCTTATCAGCCCAAAAGTCCTTTCACAGTAGTTGCACATCTTTCCTGACCTCCCGACAAGACAGATCAGAAGCAGTACATGTGATGCATTGGTAATGAAAGGTATGCAAATCAAAGTGTATATCAATCCCCCCCCCCTCCCACACCCACCCCCTTAACCTATCCACTACCCCTGGGCTGGAATGGTGTCCATGTGAATCCTTAGTATGGCCGGTCTCTTCTGTCTTCTCTATGGTCACCTCTGAGGGAAGAAGGGGGAAAATAGACCCATAGTAAATTATGCTGTACCATGAAGGCATTGGCGTTCAGCTAGCTTAATATAAAAAAAATTAGACTCATTAATATTACAGACAATCTGACAAAAAAAAGTTTACCTAATTCAATATTCTACAGTTCACTTTCACATCTCAGGTATGCCCTCTTCTGGTCAAACATCTAACTGCATGGGAGGGAAATTAAGCAGTAAACAATTTACCTTCCTCCCATCTTGTATCCCCCACCACCATATCCACCGCGGTCACCTCCACGGAATCCCCCACGGCCTCTGTAGCCGCCACCCCTGTCACCACCATACCCTCCTCTGCCGCCACCACCACCACCACGATCTGCAAACATAAACCAGCTGTTAGAGCAAGTTCTCCTAGAGAGCAGTAGTAGTTTAGTATTAGTGGTTAAATGCCTCAACTTCCCCCTATAGTCTACCTGACACCCAGTTCTTTACATACCTCCTCCGCCGTCCCCTGGTTTTGGAGTGCCACACTTGTTGCATTCGTATCGTCGCGCAAAGTTCATGTTGCCACAAGAACTGAAAAGGAGAGGGGAACAATTGTCAATCACATTCAAAGATGTAGCCACTCCATATGAGAACAGAATTTAGTGGCACATACAATGGATGACTCATGAAATTGTTTTAATTGCATCTGTCCCTCTTCAAATAAAATATTGCAATAAATACCTGTTAGGACATGGCCAGTCCCCTCCCTTGATGTCAAAGTTGGGTCCACCACCACCACCTCCTCCTCCTCCTCCTCCTCCTCCACCTCCAAACCCACGTCCACGACCACGGCCCCCAAAACCTAAAGAGCGACATCAAATACCACTTATCTAAGTGCAAGGGAAAAAGCTCAGTTTACTCTTTAGGAGTTATTGCCCAGAAACAAATAATTAAATGTGGCGTGCAAAAGCAGCCACACTTTAAATATTGTACCACGTATTTCTGACTTCTAGTTATTAGTTGGGCTTGCGAAGCAAGAGTCCCCACTTTAAAATATTTAACATTTCTTATTATAGTCATTATTTAGCACGCTACTCCTTTTACACTGTTTAAGCTAAAAACGCAGTTGAAACTTTAAAACGTGTAGACCGGTGTGGATTGACTTGCTTGTATATAACTGATATCTTCTATACTTTAAACTATTAAACTTTGTCCATCTTCATTCACTTTCTTCAGCATTCTAAAAAGGTCCCATTGTGACAGGACTTCCAACATTCCATTCACTGTAAATGCAATAATGCAACTTTAGACACAAATCACCTACTTTGACACTTTTCCAACAACTTGGATAAAGAGTTAGTGTATAAAATCTTCCTCTACTGCTCTGCTATTAAAATCTGAAAAAAAATAATATACCGATCAAACGATACAGGTATTTTACTAACCGCATCAACAATATTTCCTCAAACCTTTTTTTATAAACAACCAAAATTGAACACTTTCCCAAGTTTGATCGTATTAAATCTTAATCTACTTCTCTGCTATTCAAATCTGAAATCAGAACAAAATAACTGCTACCAATACAGCGGTTTTAGAAACCGCATTACATTTTTGCCACACAAGTGAAATTGAAAACTGTCGCAGGATCATTAACATTAACATTTTCACACATTTACATTTTAGTCATTTAGCAGACGCTCTTATCCAGAGCGACTTACAGTTAGTGAGTGCATACATTATTTAATTTTTTCATACTGGCCCCCCCGTGGGAATCTGACGCCATGCTCTACCAACCGAGCTACATCCCTGCCGGCCATTCCCTCCCCTACCCTGGACGACGCTGGGCCAATTGTGCGCCGCGGCCGGCTACGACAGAGCCTGGATTCGAACCAGGATCTCTATTGGCACAGCTAGCACTGCGATGCAGTGCCTTAGACCACTGCGCCACTCGGGAGAACTCACACCACTAAACAGAGTTCTCCAAAACTTGGTGTACAGTATCTATAGACCAAGATCTTTATTATGTATAATAAAAACAGGGGTTGGAACTGGTTCAGGGAACAGAACAGAACACCGGAAAATAATAAAATGTAAGGAACATAAACAGAACCTGGAATGAAAGTGATCCATACTGTTCAGGAACAGAAGTTATTTTACGCTCCAGGCATTTTTTCCTATTCCCACAACAAAACGCCTATGAAAAGCCCCCTCTGTCACTCAAACTTATTTGTGTCTGCCTGCAAGCTGAAAATCTTTGCCAGAGCATGTGCAGGCTACCTGCCCCTCCCCCCACCGAAGCATAGGCTACTGTAATGACGTTACAAGCTTGATTCAGAAGATAGAGCAAGAGATTTTTTATTAGCTACAGAAAAATTTATTAACTTTTCAATGCTAGTTAAGGATACTATAGGCCTATTTAACACGTTTCACGTTGGATTTAAAGGTAAGACGTGTTTTTAATTATGGTGCCGCTGTGCACACACAAGCTTGTTAGCTAGCTAACTCAAGATTATTAGTTACCTAGCTGGCTCAAAGAACATTCAAAAGTTCCTACATAGAAGCCGCTTCTAGGTATAATTCCGTGGACCTAATTCAGATAATGTCATACTGTAACAAGATGCCCAGTGAGTAAAGCCTCCTCAACACTCTTGCACTCTCCCCACCCGCAAACTTTGTCACATCATGCGCCATACGTTAGACTACACTTGTCTGTCCATCACGCACGAAAACAACTATACTGAACAAAAATATAAAGGGAACATGTAAAGTGTTGGTCCAATGTTTCATGAGCTGAAATAAAAGATCACAGAAATGTTCCATATGCACAAAAAGTGTCTGATTGTTCACAAATTTGTTTATATCCCTGTTAGTGAGCACTTCTCCTTGGCCAAGATAATACATCCATCTGACAGGCGTGGCATATCAAGAAGCTGATTAAACAGCATGATCATTTCACAGGTGCACCTTGCGCTGGGGACCATAAAAGGCCACTAAAATGTGCAGTTTTATCACACACCGCCACATATGTCAAGTTTTGACGGAGCGTGCAATTGGCATGCTGGCTGCAGGAATGTCCACCAGAGCTGTTGCCAGACAATTGAATGTTCATTTCTCTACCATAAGCCGCCTCCGCCGTCGTCTAAGAGAATTTGGCAGTACGTCCAACACGCCAGCCTCCCTGGTCTTTCTGGTTGAATGTGTTTGAAATTCACTGCTTGACCTTACAAATATTTGTATGTGTGGGGTACAGAGATGAGGTAGTCATTCAAAAAATCATGTTAAAAACACATTGCACACAGTGAGTTCATGCAACATATTATTTGACTTGTTAAGCACATTTGTACTCCTGAATTTATTTAGGGTTGCCATAATTATTTTGGGTTGTGGTCCTCTGTAGCTCAATTGGTAGAGCATGGCGCTTGTAACGCCAGGGTAGTGGGTTCGATCCCCGGGACAACCCATACGTAAAAATGTATGCACACATGACTAAGTCGCTTTGGATAAAAGTGTCTGCTAAATGGCATATTATTATTATAATAATAATAAAGGGGTTGAATACTTGACGCAAGACATTTCAGCTTTTCATTTTTTATCAAACAAATAATCCACTGACATTATGGGGTATTGTGCGTTTGCAAGTGACAAAAAAATGTGTTAATGTAATCCATTTTAAATTTAGGCTGTAACAACAAAATGTGGAAAAAGTCAAAGGGTGTGAATACTTTCTGATAGCACTGTACTTGCATTATTTTTTTAAAAACTGGTACCGGGCTACCTTCAGAGGAGTAGAGCAAAACAACGGACATGTGCGTGTCACGTTTTCGTGAAAAGGCAGATTTTCGGATTGTCTCATGGTCTGACAAACCCGGCTGTGGCTCGGCCACCTTCCACCACAGATGCAGAAGGCTGCCATTGGCTTACATGCTGACCACACCGCCAGCGTTGCGTGCACGAGCGTTGCAAAATAAACGTACACATACATGTTCTTCAATCATTTCATCCAAACTGCTCGCATGAGTCAACGAGCGTCTGCGTAGCCAGGCGCTAAAAATAGGACTTTGTACTATTTTAGATGCTTGACTCAGGGCAAGTCATTGTTTTTTTAGGAGCATATACCCACGTGGGTGATTGAGAGATGAATCAGGGTCACACTCCAGTCCATTTGGTGGTGGTAACGCACATCAAAGTTGGTTGCCAACTGCCATATAAAATCCACATTAAAAGCATTAACAAGGAGAAAAACAAACTTAGTTTCCCCTTTTTAATCTGTGGGTTAATTGTTACAGTAGAGAACACACAATGTTGTATGACTCAACATGGGTCAAAATTCTACTAAAGTGCCCCAAAAAATATATATATGCATCTCAGGTAAAATAACAACCCAATGTTTATTTTCCAGGACAAACTAGCTAGCAACAGCAAGCTACCTAAATAACCATGAATATTTCGACCAGTCCCCAAATTAATATAGTTTGTTCACAGTTTTGGTATTGAACATGTCTGGAAGGGATAGACAAAATCAACACGGCACACGCCAATTACATTTCCGCGAGGGCACCGACATCAACTCTAGGGGGTTATTAATACAGAAGCGAAATTTGTCCCAATACTTTTGGTCCCGAAAAAACAGGAGGACTATGTACGAAAAGTGCTGTAATGTCTAAACTGTTCACCTGATATGGATTTTAAAAAAATTAAAAAAAAAATTAAAAGATCAGTCTGCACTGTAGTCATTTCCCAAAATAAATGTAATATTCAATACTTTGAGCTCATGTACACTACCAGTCAAAAGTTTAGACACACCTCATTCAAGGGTTCTTCTTTATTTTTTACATTGTAGAATAATAGTGAAAACATCAAAACTATGAAAGAACACATATGGAATCATGTAGTAAACAAAAAGTGTTAAACAAATCAAAATATTTTATTGGAGATTCTTCAAATAGCCACCCTTTGCCTTGACAGCTTTGCGCATTCTTGCCATTCTCTCAACCAGCTTCACCTGGAATGCTTTTCCAACAGTCTTGGAGTTCCCACATATGCTGAGCACTTGTTGGCTGCTTTTCCTTCACTCTGCGGTCCGACTCATCCCAAACCGTCGCAATTGGGTTGAGGTTGGGGGATTGTGGTAAAATAGCCCTTACACAGCCTGGAGGTGTTGGATCATTGCCCTGTTGAAAAACAAATGATAGTGGGACTAAGCCCAAACCAGATGGGATGGCGTATCGCTGCAGAATGCTGTGGTAGCCATGCTGGTTAAGTGTGCCTTGAATTCTAAATAAAATCACAGACTGTGTCACCAGCAAAGCACCTCCACACCATAACACCACCTCCTCCATGCTTTACGGTGGGAAACACGTGGAGATCATCCGTTCACCCACACCGCGTCTCACAAAGACACGGCGGTTGGAACTAAAAATCTCCAATTTCGACTCCAGACCAAAGGACAAATTCCCACCGGTCTAATATCCATTCCTCGTGTTCCCTAGCCCAAGCAGGTCTCTTCTTCTTATTGGTGTCCTTTAGTAGTGGTTTCTTTGCAGCAATTCGACCATGAAGGCTTGATTCACACAGTCTCCTCTGAACAGTTGATGTTGAGATGTGTCTGTTACTTGAATTCTGTGAAGCATTTATTTGGGCTGCAATTTCTGAGGCTGGTAACACTAATGAACTTATCCTCTGCCGCAGAGGTAACTCTGGGTCTTCCATTCCTGTGGCGGTCCTCATGAGAACCAGTTTCATCATAGTGCTTGATGGGTTTTGCGACTGAACTTGAAGAAACGTTCAAAGTTCTTGAAATTTTCCGGATTGACTGACCTTCATGTCTTCACGTAAATAGTCATTTCTCTTTGCTTATTTGAGCTGTTCTTGCCATAATATGGACTTGGTCTTTTACCAAATAGGGCTATCTTCTGTATACCCCCCTACCTTGTCACAACAACTGATTGGCTCAAACACATTAAGGAAAGAAATTCCACAAATTAACTTTTAGAAGGCACACCTGTTAATTGAAATGCATTCTAGGTGACTACCTCATGAAGCTGGTTGAGAGAATGCCAAGAGTGTGCAAAGCTGTCATCAAGGCAAAGGGTGGCTACTTTGAAGAATCTCAAATATATTTTGATTTGTTTAACACTTTCTTGGTTACTACATGATCCCATATGTGTTATTTAATAGCAAACTTTTGACTGGTACTGTACACACACCGAGTATACCAAACATTAGGAACACCCTCCTAATATTGACTTTCACGCACCCCTACCCGTCGGGGCATGGATTCTACAAGGTGTCAAAAGCGTTCCACAAGGATGGTGGCCCATCTTGACTCCAATGCTTTACACAGTTGCGTCAAGTTGGCTGGATGTCCTTTGGGTGGTGGACCATTCTTGATACACATGGGAAACTGTTGAGTACAAACCGGTGCACCTGGCACTTACTACTGCCATACCCTGTTCAAAAGCACTAAAATCTTTTGTCTTGCCCATTCACCCTCTGAACGGCACACATACACAAGCCATGTCTCAATGTATGCATTTTGTCCCCCCACTTTTGATCTGAACTCACCGTCACCCACTAATGATCTTGTCATTTTTGCAGATAAGAGTTTGAGCTAGTTATGTATCCATTTTATATTTAAAAATGAGCTTTTTTAGAGTGAGGTTCTCTTCTCCCGGCCGCATCGACCATATAGTGCAGCTCAAAAGTGATTGCTGTCCTTGTTATGAAATTATCAACTTTACCCTGTATATTTTTATATCTAAAAATTACTAAATACACTGATTGTTTAAAGCAAAACTACCAAAACTATTGCTGATGGTAAACCTGAAGAATCAAAATAAAATCTAAATGATGGAAGCCCAGATCAGCAGGTAATGAGTTGTCTCCGGTAGCACTTTTATTCCGGTAAAATAGCATTTTCAACAGCGCATTTGAGGACAATTATGGTCCACTGTAGCTCAGCTGGTAGAGCACGGCGCTTGTAATGCCATGGTAGTGGGTTCGATCCCCGGGACCACCCATACACAAAAAACGTATGCACGCATGACTGTAAGTCGCTTTGGATAAAAGCGTCTGCTAAATGGCATATTATTAATTACCAGGCTAATGACATTGGTTGTCACCAAGCATCTGCACAGATGGGGCTCTCTACCTGTGCAGAGCACATGCCCCTTTGCCCTTCCAGTCTTCAAAGTGGCCTTTTCGGTGGTAGTATAATCCCCTCCCCCATTGTTCTGAGCAAGTCGTTAAGTTCTCATCTATGCTTCAGAACCAAAACATTGTGCATCTTGATTGTTGATCAATGATCAGTAATCATCATTGGCGGTCACGCATATCCAGATTTGTGACCAAAAATAACTTGTTTCATTTCAGAGTAGGCCTACGTTTATGATCCATCTAAAACACAGTTTACTTTAATCTACTATGGACTCATCTTTGCCAGAACAATAGGCTACCTGGCAATTTGATTGATCATTTTCATATTTCAGATAAGTTTGGGCCATGCTGTCTAAATGTCTAAAGACAAGCAGCTGTAACATCGCATTGCCTTCAATATTATGGGATGAAGATAAAACATTGTCAAATGTATTACGATAATTGTGAGGAAGAACAGGGTTACCCGGCAGGCAATTAGCACTCTGCAGGCAGGCTGCCCTCCAAAGTGATGGCGCAGTGCAGACAGAACATGCTTTCCACCCGATCCTGCAACCTCTGCTAAAGTAGGCCATATGCTTTTTTGCTTGCTCTGGACTCCAGAGAAGTGACATGATATAGCCCTGGTCGATACTGGCAGCTAACTAATGACTTTCCGCTCCTAAAGCAAGTGTAAAACACATTTTATTTCTGTAGCCTATCACCTTTTATGGCTGTAACAGGCTACATTTGTGCAGCGATTGTGCATGACGTGCGCGAGGGGTGGTCACAAGTTTTGTACCACTCCCTTTTAGGGTGCGCGGGTCAAAATGTTTGCTAACCACTAGGATATATGATAGTGGCAACAAATGGAGTTGGGTTGGATATAGTAATTGTAGGCTACATTATTTCTTACAATCTATTTTGACTGGAATTGTTGGTCCTTTTTGTGGGGGTGCCCTTTGTTGTTTGAGCACATTCCCCCTGAAAAGGTCTGAGCACGGCCCTGGTTGTCACTCAACTGATAAAGCCTAATATTGCGCAATCCATTTCTACAAGCATTTAAAATGCTGAAGATGCTGCACAGATGTGCAAAATCTGGTCAGCACGCTGTGCGAAGTTGTACTGCCCGATGCATGCTACATTTGGGGTCTCACGGACTGATGCACTCATATCTTAACTATTTTAACCAGATTACGATTCGTATCTGTGAATCATTATACCCCTATTGCCTACCAATGGGTTTAAAGCTCATCTTTAGCTGAAAGATAATCTTGTGTTTTTGGAAAACTCAACCGCAGACAGTTGCAGTAACATTTGAATGATTCGTCATCAAAAAGTGAATGAAACGTACCTCCTCCTCCTCTTCCTCCTCCCCCTCCTACACCGCCACCCCTCTGCGTGAACTCAGCTCTTCGGGTGGCAAAAGACACTTTGAGGGGTTTCCCTTGGAATTCTTTGCCTAGAAGAAAATGAGAGATGAGAATGGAACAGAAGAACTGTACACAGCATACATGCATGGGAATACAGAGTACACCCTTACCATCAAACCACTCAATGGCTGCTTTGGCAGAAGGTGGATCATCAAATGAGACCGTGGCCTCTCCCTTCAGTCTTCCAGTAGCCTTGTCAGAGTACAGGTTGATCATGGGCAGGCCAGTCTTCTTGTTCAACTATCAAGACAGGACACAAAGATTAACACTTGGACACATACATCTGGGTTGCCATTAGGACTGAGAATTGCCAGGGACCTCATGATAAGTTATCACGATACTTAGGCTCCAATACATTATGTATTGCGATTTGATACTGCAATTTTATTGCCATTTCATGTTCCAAACATATTGCTCACTATATGTCTGCTGCAGAGACCGAACATGAGAACATTTATTTTGATGAGTCATGAAAATAAGTGCTGAAAACATGTTGGCTCACTAATAAGATGGAGAACATTTTTGATTTGGCACAGGTACAGCAGACTAGCGCTAGCTAATGCTACCTAGCAACAACATACACCAAAAGTTTGTTGAGTCAAAATATTGATATAACATTGCAGACCTGCCAACCTTTAATTTTTATGAATACCACATCGATGCGGCGTGCGTACAACACCCACACTGCTCAAATCATAGGCAAAAGCACCAACAAAAAAAAAGAAAGAAGCTTAATAATGATGTTGGCATTAGACTGCCTCAGCAGGAATGGTAAGCTATAGCCTTATGGGTACTTTGTAATTGGCTGCTATTCAGTAGGTCACTAGAAATACTTCCCCCTCAGGAAGTTGGAGCATTTTGCATTTTTGTAAAACCTATAACTGCCATTTGCTGAAACCTAGTCTTAAATTATAACAAACAATGTAGCCAACACTGGAGTTGTGCGTTTAACCCTAAATGAAATTGAGGTGTTCTCAATGACACATTTTTCTAGGTTAAATGTAGGGGTAATGATTATTCTAATTAATAGGTGTCTTTATGTGGATAGTAGTAAAAATGTAAACTGGATTCTTAATTTTGTTTGGAAGACAATTCCAGTAATTGAATTATTCTGATGCAATGTAGTAGTCTAGCAATGTAAATGTAAATGTAGCCTAGCTTACTGTAGGTTATTTGGAATATGAAACTGAACTAGGCCTGAGCTTGTTTCAGATCCCTGACCTAATCCATCAAGTTAGGTCTGACTACTAGGCTACCATTCATTCAACATGCCTCGTCATTGGTAAACTGACTATTACCACATCATTAGCAGCCTACTGTTGACATACAGCTATATCAAGAGGACAAATTACTTACTGATTAATTAACATAGGCCAACTAATCTACAGTCTAACAACTTTCTGTGAAGGATGTTATTAGCCGAACAGCTCTCTGCCATGTCGGTTTCCATCCATGCAGCGACGTGCACTGAACTACCGCACGCCTCCTTCCTCGTCAATGCGCTCACTCCTACTACCCTTGCAGAGATCAAAGCATGTGCGGGCAAGAAACTGTTTTAGCTCAGTTGACTAAACGCTGTAGGTAACAACCTCTGTCGTAATGCCACCTTAATTAAGGAGCCAACTACAAAATAGTGGTTACGTGCTTGACTAAAACACCATTTTGGAAAACGTATTTGTAAACATTTTTCCTCACACATTAGCGTTATCAACAATGTGGAGAGCTGCCATCCAGCTCGTGGGAGGAAAATAGTATGCTAGTACGACAACGAGCCGGAGTGGCGAGACAGCATTTTTTTCTCCTCGCCCAAGTCTTCCGATTGGCTCAGCTCCAACTTCAGACGGTCGAGTCAAAAACCACAATGCAACAACAGAAGCCTATTTTAGGGTAGTTATTTGTACCAGGTTGGCAGGTCTGATATTTTCCCCAAATAATATTGCGATATTTAACTAAATCGACCCCACCAATCACTAGTAGCCATGCAAGTGTACAGGGAGAAGCAGTCCCTGACCAGAAACAATCCTTCCATCCTAGCCACTTACATTAAGTATCTAGGCCCTATGGGGTAGGGGCTAAGGTATTGCCAATCCATACCTTAATGATCCCAATCTGTTTGAAGTAGTTGCCCACTTCATCACTTGTGACATCTTCTCCCAGTCCCTGGACAAAGATGGTGTTGTTGTCAGAGTTGTCCTGCTCCCCGCCACTGCCGCTACCTTGGCTACCGCCGCTACCTCCAGCTGGGGACAAACATCGAGATACTACTCAGCGGCTGCTTCACTTGAACCAGCCTGTTATTCTGTGGCATTCGCTTGTGAGAGACTAGAGGTCAGTGTTAGTCTGGCATGATTGCAGGAATAATCAAACCCTAGATTGAATTTCAGGGCAACAAGAAGCAAACAAGCATGTGCAACTCACTTGGTTCATCCCTTGAGCCGTAGTCTCGAGGACCTGAAACACAACAAACAGGAAAGGTGGGGAAAGCCATGAGAACCTGCACTTTGTACACTACACAACTTCATTGAAAATCCATACAAACAAGAATTCATCAACTCTCTACCAATACAGTGTCCGCATGAGGCTACGTTAAAACATATAGAATAAAGCAGTTTACAGCTTTCTGCTGCAGTGTTGAGACAGTTGCATCATTCATATATATCTCAACACCTTGCAACATGGGCAGACATGTTTGCGTTTAGAAATAAAGACACCAAATCTCTCCAGTTTCCTTCTTCGCCACAGCACTTCTCATCCTCTGTCATTTACATTCAACCTTGTCCTCATGCAACAATACCATTATGTATAAACTTCAGGCTTCATGTGCTAAAAGATCTAAAGAGCATTTATGAGAACACCCCCTCCCTAAGAACAATAGGTGGAGGCCTTCGAGGTTTGGACAAGAAAATGGTGGCATTCAGTTTGTTTTGCTTTCATTCTCACTCCCTTTCTCTTTTGCTAATCAACCTTTTTCCTCCCCAACCGAGACAGTTCTGATGCTCGTCACTTACCACCGTAATTTTTGTAGCCACCACGGTCACCACCTCTGCAGAGGAAAAATTGTAGATATGATGGGTTTCCTTTGTCCCAACAGAGCTCAAAGCTCCCCTACATCCCCATCAGTATGCACTCCTGCCATGGTGTGCGACTATCGTGGAAATGTCTTCCCACTCACATGGGAAAGTGTTAGTCTTGGACGTTTTAAGATCAATGGACAAAATTAGGCAGAACTCCCACTATATACAGGTAGGTTCTGATGAGTGAAGAGGCTCTGATGGCTAATGTGTAAATTTAGATTGCTACAAGACCAGATTAGCTTAGAGTATTCAATTGGATAACGTTTTGGGATAAAAAGGTACTGATAGGTCGAAATGGTTTGAATAGTTGTGGCACTCGACAAGTCGAGTGTTCTTCCATTGAGTGCTTATATGAGCTCCATTAGCTGAGGTCCAAGTTTTATTTCATTCACTGAAACCTGTAGTATAAAATGTAGATCCAAAGTTAACACAATACAAATGTCTCCATGTCAAATATACAACACTTGAATGAAACCTGTTGATGTACAGCAGCTTACAATGTTCCTTGGGTTTAACTTGTGAAAATCAGGTCACTTCAAGAACAGATCATTCTGGGTTATTGTTTAAGCCGTTCATGAGGCGGTTCTCAAAGCAACGGGGGGCGCAAAAATAATCCTCACTCCAGCTAGAATGGTCTTAACTTTGCACAGAGAGCCACTGAATAGTTTATTAGCCAAAAGCACCCATAACAGCCAGCAGGATTCCTAGCAGATCTTTGATAAACATGTGCTGAAGCATTCCAACTCGCCTCTGATGTCTATTACTTCTCAGGAACCATGTCAAATGAAATCTAGATTGTCAGCAATTTTGAGAATGTGACAGCACTGCGGCAGAACTACTGTACTCGTTATTCAATGCCATTACCAAAGTGGTTGTTAAAAGTTTCCCGTTACAAATAATGTCTCAATTTCAAATGATAGCCTAGGATAAGATAAGTAATCTTGCTAAAAATAATGGTTTAGGCTACAAGTCTTCTACACTGAAAGCTACTTGGCCAAGATCTATAATTGCTTGTCATATACAAAAAAGTTTCCAGAACTGCCCTTGTAGATAGATAGCAATGTGAACCGATCACTGGCAAGCGACAGAATGTCCTGACTATTATAATCAACAGCCTTGTTAATGAAGACGTACAAAAGCTGGGGTCTACAGGATCCTTGGCTGGTGAAGTGACTTAATCCTCAACACCCTATGTAATTCATAAAGGGGGTCAGGTGAAGTGTCCACTTAACTCCTTGCACCACAGGTGTCAATAGCAGACACCCCACCATGTCATCTGTCCCACAAGCCATTTGAGCTTCACATTTATTTCCATTTGCAAGCAAGGCCATAATCAGCTAGAATATTGCATGCATATTTATGATTGCGATGGAACACAGGTTATATCCTCACAAGTCATTTAAACCACAAAACACAATTCTAATTCTATGAGTGAAGCTTCAAGGTGAAACATATAGCACATCTAGGGCTGGGCGATATCGAATTAATGTTTTAGCGCGATGTTCCAAATGCCTATATCACAAGATTCAAGGATTTTATTTTTGGTCTTGTCTCCTTCGCTCCTTCTGTGCTTCCCACTCACAGACACAAAGCCCCTCCCCCTGCCACTCACAACAAAGACGAGAGATACTACACCGTGCATTCAGAAAGTATTCAGACCCCTTCCCTTTTCCCACATTTTATTACGTTACAGCCTTATTCTAAAATGAATGACGAGCAGGTGTCAACATACTTTTGGTCATGTAGTGTAACTTCTTTCTCTGAGAAGCAGTTTAAACTATTTGCATTTGGTCTAACAGAATCGTTCATATGGACAGAAACGCTTATATTATTTTACTGTAATAGACGAGAACTTAACCTTTCTAACGATACCCTTATGTCTCAACTCCCAAAATGTAGAACAGAGCAGACCCTACTAAAATGAGAGTATCAACGAACATGTTGTGTAAAATGAATGTTCAGTTTGTCGCGTGCGGCACCAAGTACCGCTAGCATAATTTTAGCCACAGACTTACTGTATGTGCTAGCTGTCTGGTCTGTTTCATAAATGTTCAATGAGCATAACATGACGCATTTATATAAAGGAATTGGCAACTTGTTCTCATTCTGAAAAATAAGCAATATATCCAGGTAGGCCACTTGATTTCAAAATTTAAACAACCTGAACAGGCAGGCAAAGAGCTGGAGATGGACAAGCGGGTCTATTCATAACAGTTCAACTGTTCTACCTTGATAGCAAGCAAATAGATCCAAGTAGCAGGTGGGCTTGTGCGATTTGAGCCCTGTGTTAATTTTCTATAATGCCTGCTACAAGTTGTTCGTTATTAGTGGATGTGCATGGTTAAATTTGTAACAAAAAAATGCATTTTTATAGACAGACTTGAAAGCCAGAGATCAGTGTTTATTGCAAAAAAAGCAGGTAAAACTATTTTGATAAAAATAATTAAATTATTAGTGGGTCTTATGGTTGTGGAAGCCTTATATTTAGCCTAGGTATAATTTTACAAGCCCTGAATTAGATTATTCCTGACCGTTTGAAATGCTGTGTATTGACCTTTAAATGGTGCAACAATGCTTAGAGAAAGCTTTTTAAAAAACGAGGTATCGTGAATCGCCCATTAGCTTGAAAAAAATCTAACTATGATTTTTAGGCCATATCGCCCAGCCCTAAACACATCCCAGGTGAAAATTGGTGTGGGGGGGGTCTATAGCAGGGTGGGGAGTGAGGAGGTATTAGTCCATGTGAATGAGGTATGGGATGATGGATCAGAATGGGTTATATCATGCATTGTGTTGGAAGGAACATCTACCTGGCATGGGTGTTGCAGAAGTACCTTGCGGGTGGTCACGCTCTGGAACTTACCCCATACCGGATGGAGGGCCGCCTCTTCCACCCCTGTCGTATCCCCCGCGCTCGTACCCACCACGCCCTCGGCCTCTATACCCGTCAGAAGAGCCCCTGTCTGAGCCCCCATCATCTCCACCATACCTCCTGCCCTGACCGCCTTCACCTGGGGCAAAACACAGGCACACAAGCCCTTTGAGTTATGTGGTGTTGTCTTTCTATTTCCTGTTTTATATGTATGGCACTTTGTTTTATATGTACGAGATTCTTCTGCAATGAAAAGTGATTTTATTATTAGAGGCATTCAGCCATACTTAAACAGTCCAGAGTTTGGCCGATCAGCCTTGGCCAAAGATGGCTATAAATTGCTGATCCTCCAAGTCAAATAAACAGACTGAAAAAAAAGTATGCAGACCTTTGCAGGCCATCTGATCAATAAAAACCATTGCCATGTAATATATACAGAGCATTCAGAAAGTATTCAGACCCATTGACTTTTTCTACATTTTGTTACTTTACAGCCTTACTCTAAAATTGATTAAATTGTCCCCCCCCCCCCCCCCCAATCTACAAACAATACCACATAATGACAAAGCAAAAACAGGTTTAGACACCTTTGCAAATGTATTTAAAAACATTAATAATCACATTTACGTAGGTATTCAGACCCTTTACTCAGTACTTTGTTGAAGCACCTTTGGCAGAGATTACAGCCTCGAGTCTTCTTGGGTATGATGCTACAAGCTTGGAACACCTGTATTTGGGGAGTTTCTCCCATTTATCTCTGCAGATCCTCTCAAGCACTGTCAGGTTGGATGGGGAGCGTCACTACACAGCTATTTTCAGGTCTCTCCAGAGATGTTCGATCGGGTTCAAGTCCGGGCCACTCAAGGACATTCAGACTTGTCCCGAAGCCACTCCTGCGTTGTCTTGGCTGTGTGCTTAGGGTCGTTATCCTGTTGGAAGGTGAACCTTTTCCCCAGTCGGAAGCAGGTTTTCATCAAGGATCTCACTGTACTTTGTTCCGTTCATCTTTCCCTCGATCCAGACTAGTCTCCCAGTCGCTGCAGCTGAAAAACATCCCCACAGCATGATGCTGCCACCACCGTTCTTCACCGTAGGGATGGTGCCAGGTTTCCTCCAGACGTGACGCTTGGCATTCAGGCCAAATAGTTCAATCTTGGTTTCATCAGACCAGAGAATCTTGTTTCTCATGGTCTCAGTCCTTTAGGTGCCTTTTGGTAAACTCCAAGCGGGCTGTCATGTGCCTTTTACTGGGGAGTGGCTTCCGTCTGGCCACTATACCATAAAGGCCTGATTGGTGGAGTGCTGCAGAGATGGTTGTCCTTCTGTAAGGTTCTCCCATCTCCAGAGAGGAACTCTGTCATAGTGACCATCAGGATCTTAGTCACCTCCCTGACCAAGGCCCTTCTCCCCCGATTGCTCAGTTTGGCCGGGCGGCCAGCTCTAGGAAGAGTCTTGGTGGTTCCAAATTCTTCCATTTAAGAGTGATGGAGGCCACTGTTTTCTTGGGGACCTTCAATGCTACAGACATTTTTTGTACCCTTCCCCAGATCTGTGCCCCGACACAATCCTGTCTTGGAGCTCTACGGACAATTCCTTCGACGTCATGGCTTGGTTTTTGCTCTGACATGCACTGTCAACTGTGGGACCTTATATAGACAGGTGTGCCTTTCCAAATCATGTACAATCAATTGAATTTACCACAGGTGGACTCCAATCAAGTTGTAGAAACATCTCAAGGATGATCAATGGAAACAGGATGCACCTGAGCTCAATTTCGAGTCATCGCAAAGGGTCTGAATACTTATGTAAATAAGGTATTTCAGGTTGTTTTTAAAAAATAAATTTGCAAAAATGTTTAAAGACCTGTTTTCGCTTTGTCATTATGAGTTATTGTGTGTAGACCGATGAGGGGAAAAATGAATTTAATCAATTTTAGAATAAGGCGTAACGTATCAAAATGTGGAAAAGGGGAAGATGTCTGAATACTTTCCGAATGCACCGTAAATGGATACAATAACTAACCTTCACTTCGACCTCTGTAGCCTCCTTGAGATTGTCCATAAGAGCCGCCATCGGCGGCGCCGCCATAGGAACTCGGCTGACTGTATGACGACTTGTCAGCGCCACCATACCTTGAGAAGTTTTCACAACAATTATTCTTGAGACACCAACAAAGAGTTTAATAATGAACAAAACAGATTACTGAAAGGTAACATTTGCAATGAGATTAGACCAGTGGGAAGGCAAAGTACGTAACTGCAAGCAATACTAGGTTTATGTAGTGCCTTTGATCTTACCCAGCAGCGGAATCCGAGCCTTGTTGCCCATAGCCATCATAGGCCGGCTGGCCATAGCTTGCCGCCTGTGTTGTTTGGCCATAACCCTCTGCTGGAGAAACAAAAAGGGAAATGTTATGTATTAAAAACAGCAACTTCTAGACCTCAAATAACTTAAAGACTCTCCCATAAGTTGAACATACCAGACTGTCCATAACCAGCATAACTCTGTCCACCATATGAGCCACTTCCATTTCCTTGACCATAGCCCTGCAATACGCATTGAATTGTCATTATATGAACAAAATAAAATGGTTTCAAAAAAGTGAGAAATTGAGGGGCCACACATACCTGCCCACCCTGCTGAGCAGGAGGATAAGCTCCATAGCTGTGGGAGGGAGGTAAAGTTTGATATCTTAGAGATTCTCCTGAACTTCTGTATACATTTTAAATAATAAATAATATGCCATTTAGCAGACGCTTTTATCCAAAGCGACTTACAGTCATGCGTGCATACATTTTTGTTTATGGGTGGTCCCGGGGATCGAACCCACTACCTTGGCGTTACAAGCGCCGTGCTCTACCAGCTGAGCTACAGAGGCCTGTAGTTCTTAAAGTAGCACTCATGAGCCAAAAGTGGTGCCCGAAAATTGCGTACCACGTCAGTGCGCAAAACATCTCCTGTCAACAAAGGCATATGCATAATCTCTAGGAACTCTATTTACCAGATGTAAAGTGAACCATGTCCCTCGCACTTCACACTAGACTTCCTACCACTGTATACACAGCAGGAATATGGTGTGGTTTGGACAAAAGTTGTATTCAGACCTTTATTTGATAGCGAGGGTCATATTTCACTTTACATCTGGTAAGTAGAGTTCCTAGAGATTATACATTGCCTTTGTTGACAGGAATTTTTCCGCGCACTAACGTGGTGTAGCCAGCTATATTTTGGTAGGGTTATTTTCCGTCGCCACCCACCAATACAATTCAGGGAGTCCAACCAATGCAGACTCCCTATGTTGTGCCCCAAAGCTACCATAACTCGGGATGTGCCTAATATCAATTAGTTTCCCCGTCAAAACCATATCCATCACAATAAATTAGACATTTCAAATAATCAAGCATTGTGTGGCTAATTGGATAGTTTACAAAGAAACGTGCTTAAGTGGTAACTAAATAGATAGCTAAGTTACATGACAACATTGAGTAGTAGCTAATGTATTCATTGTGATTTCACGTTACCTTGGAGCGCCAGGCTGACCGTAGCCCGAATCTGTGAACGAGAAGGGTATGAGTGATTGGGTGGCAAAATTGCTACAACTAACGTTCGCTAGGTGGTTAGCCAATGAGACATCTAACTGTTAGCTAACCATTGAACATGTCTCCTTATATGAACGTTACCAAAGATGTTCGTACCAATCGGACGTAAACCTGTAGCTAACTTATCTTGCTAGCTGACTTTAGCTTATTTTGATATCAAGTAAACTTAGTTAGCTAGTTTGGTAAGCTGTGACTTAACATTAGATGGGAACAACATTAATTTATCATAAAGATAATGCAATGCAAGTCAATACGAAATGCATACAACTACCCGGTGGAAATAGCAGGCCTTGGATAGCTAGCTACCGTTACATAGCTAACGTTACCTAGCTAGCTAACTACCGTAGCTAATAATATGCATGTTACTCGTTGAGTAGCTAGCTAACGTTAGCTTGCTAGTTAGCGCGGTGCTAACAGGACCACGCTGCGCGACAAAAATGGCGGTCAATTCTCGTCTAGAAAGAGAAACCAAACAATAAGAAAGATGGTTGAGCGATTCAAAATAACTAAGTGTGATTTTACAGAAAGCGGCAGACGTTATTTTCAAAAGAAATGGTCATAAATTCGCCAACAAACTATGGGTAGTATTTATTCTCTGATGGTCGCGCCTGAAAGCTTGCTAAACTAACGCTACTGTAGCTAGTTAGCGCACTAGCTCGCTAACTGAGACCATCAGTCTCAGCATTATCATTTAACATTTTATAACAAATTTGACACATTAAATTAATATTAAACAAATCGCATACATTTAGTTCACACTAAACTTACCAGAGGCCATTCTCCTCTTCTCTTATTATTATTATTTTTTCGATGAATCACTTTTCAACAAATTAAAAACCCGGTAACATCAGCGCACAGCCGCACATACACTGCGGCCAATTATGAACTCTAACCTACTGCTGGGATGAACCAACTTTTGAGTTAATTCTTATATTTTCTTACACATAATAATTAAAACCAAGTAACCTTCAAAACATGTGTGTTGAACATAGCTATGTTCGTATTTAATACATGTGTCAAATATCTAGTGACAAGACACATGTTATACAGTAGTTTGATAAAAATGAATACCCCTATTGTTAAATAATGGTGTGTTCCATGTTTCGCCGTTTTCTTATTTCCCTTTGATTTCATCTTCATCATCAGCGAGGGAGCTTGCCCATAGAGTTATACTATAACGCAGCATCAAGGAGTTTGCCAGCCAACTTGCCAAAATATTCTGAAATAATTTAGCTTTTTTTTTTAGAAAGATAAGATTCAAATGGCCATTGTCTCTTTGACTCAACAACCAAAAAAACACGAGTTTAGCTTTCTTAAAAGGGAAGTTCACTCATTTTTACGTGGCCTTATTTTCCCTCTTTCTGTGCTTGTAGTTGATACCCCCAAAGTTTTTATAATATTTTTTTTTTTTACATAGAAAATTGGTTGTCTCATTTTGCGAAGTCCAAAACAACTCATATTACATCCAAATCTCATTCTGGATAATGTCTCAGCACTCAATTATTTATTTTCCCACTGTGCCACACATCCATGTTTGAATGATGTGATTTACAACAAAAATATGCAAATATGGATTTATGGGACAGTGGAACATTCAAAAATGTGTGCAGAGACATTATCCTGATGTAATATGAGTTGATTTGGAGTGTTTTATAACATGCTTAGACACATTTCATAATGCATTGTATTCTAAGTGACGACTGTAACAAAACAAAATATTAAACTGTTTGGGAGATCAACTACAAGTACAGAAAGAGTAAAAATAAAGCCACATAAAAACTTCCCCTCTAAAGAAACAAACAATTTATAGATATTTCTGGATATTAAAGTTAGCTGATTGATCCTGCTTTGTAGTATACCCCCTTGGTGGCCTTTTGTGTGTGATAATACTTAAGTTGATAGACTAGTTGTGACCAGTTATTATGCCTGTTCATCTCTGGGAAAGGGTAAACAGCGTAGGGCCTACATCCATCAAACATACCTGACTTCCTGCATCCAGCCATCCTTCCATCTAATAATTGAAAAGAACAATACCATCTCATTTTCTAACATTTGATCAGATGAAGAGGATGCATACCTCAGACATGAATAACAAACGGTTGACTATTTATTCAATATTTTTTTATTAATTTTAAAAAGACATGCCTAGATACATTCATTCAGTTGAGACACTTACTGCATTATAAAATGGAATGTGGTCAAAAAAGTAACAGGAATGGAATGAATGTCTTCACAGTACATGGTTTCTCTCCAATATTTTAGAAGAAATGCCTTTACAGTAATGCATCCAAAAAACATTATACATTTAAGTAATGCACCACATTCAATAAGGCACACACTGAATTTACAAATGTATATGCTTTGCTTGGCTGATGGGCCAAAACAGGTTCACAACCTTGCCCTTACAGTTCGTTTTCAGTGAAGTGAACAAAGGATGCCAAATTTCAATTGGAGACAGTTGAAAAGAGGTGGTAGAAAGTAAATCTCAACAAGTTTGAGCAGCATCCGTCACATTTAACATCCATACATACGTGATAGATCATCCAGTACTTACACTGATTAGTGTGCAATAGTACAAAGAATATAAAAGAAACAAAGTTGACACTCAAAGCCAACTAGTTGGGGGAAATCTACATTCTCAGGGTACAGTGCTAGGTTTGCATGATAAAAAAACATGTCAATTTGAATGCTTGCTACTAAGTGGTGTACGTGTTCAGTTTTTGTTTCATCGTAAACTGGATAATGCCGAGTATTTAAGTCGAGATATTTACTCATCCCCCTTCCAGGCTTACTTTTTTTTTTTTCTTTGTCAACCATTTGCATCATGTATACAAATACTACAGGGAACCTAAAAATCATTTTCATTGATATATTTAAAAAGGCAGTCTTGTGGAAAATAAAAGCTAATAATTTCTCCTACTGAATTACAACATTGTACTTTTTTCATGCCTTGCTAAGGGTTACTGTGATTGATTAGAAATGTACAGTAACATCCTTATTGCATAAAAGGCTATATATCCCTTATCCAAATGCAAAAGGTAAACAAACACTAAGACTTTCAGTTACTGATTTTGTAGACAAAAATATCTCACTTTTTATTTCACAAATCAAAAATATTTATAATGTATTCTGAATATACTTTAATACCCAGATTAGGTCAACTTCCTAAGGAAGAGACTTTCACTGTATGAGTTTTGTATTTAAGCCCACCCACTCACTTTGAACCGTACAATTATGTACAGCTACAGTATATTATTATCAAACTTTCCTTCTCCTGCAAAAACATGATGCTTCTCACGACGTCGACAAATGTGATACTACATTTGACACTGCCAAAGTGATGGCCGACTGACATAGAATATCAATAAATCTGAATGGAGGATGACCAACCATTATTGTGGTGCATTGGTGAGTGCTTGTGTTGCTCCATGGAAATAAAACAACCAGAGATGACGGCAGCGATATCCTTCCCCAGTGGTCACAAATCCTGGTCCCGGAGAGCTACAGGGTGTGTAGGCTTTTATTCCAGCTCGGCACAAACACACCCATCTGAACTAATCAAGGTCATGATGATGATAAGGCAATCAATTGAATCAGATGTTTTAGTGCTTGGCGGGAACAAATGCCGGCACAACCGGTAGCTCTCCAGTACCAGGGTTGGTGACCCATTATAACCATTGCTGACACAAACTGACACAAATAATAATGCAAGATTAAAAACAAACAAACATAGGATGTGGTTGGATCCTAGGTGTTTTAGCTCCAGACATCCTGCGAGTACCGTCCCTTGGTCATCAGTTTCTTGATGTAGTCGGTGGCCTGAGTGCGTGTCATGCCTCCCAGCTCCTCTGCTATCTCACAGAAAGCTGTCTGCACATCCCTGGCCATGTTCCGCGCATCCCTAAAAACAGGAGCATTTCTCTATAAGACAATTGTCTTTTAACCCTTGTTTGAGGATTTTGTGAATTCGGGAGTGCTTTCAAGAAATATGTCAATTCAATTCCAATCAACTTTATCGCCAAGGGGCAAATGTTACTGGAGAAGATCCTTCCTTACCCGCAGATGTATATGTGTGCGTTGTCTGTGTGGATCTGCCTCCACAGGTCCTCCTTGTTGGTCCTCAGGAGATGCTGCACGTACACCTGGAGGGACGGTGAGAGGAAAGAGAGAGCTATTACACCATCCTCGAGCTTGCCGTCTTCTTCAAACAAAAAACAGACCTTCAAGGAAACGTGTTCCTCTTTCTTTATGAGATGGGGCACCACAAACCCCATCCCTCAGGTATCCTCTGAGGGCTAGCCTAGGACTGTGTAGAGTATGTGTTGACCGTCCCCACTAATAGTACACCTAATGGTACAGAATCAGACAGGTATAGATACCGGTCTATACTACCAACAACCATGATTGGCAACACTTAAGAACGCTATGGAAATATGATAAGGAGTACAATTGTCTTGGTGTCCCAACTGCAGGGTGTGTACGCTCAGATAACAACGTGGCTGTATGGTGGTCTACGGCTATCTATTCAATAAATATGTCATATTCTAGCTACCAGAAAAGTATTGTTCACTGTTTTTAATAATGATTTTTTAAGGTCCTAGTGCTGAATAACTAATAAAACAATACCTTTTGGTCCTGGTCCCGAGAGAAAGCCACGTTGAGCTTCGTGATCACACCTGTCTTCTCAGCCTTCTCCAACTCCTCCTGGTACAGATAGTCCTCGTTCTTGTGCCTGCAGCCAAAGTACAAGACCGTCTCCCCCACCTCCTTGCCTACAGGAAAAAGCAGACCAATTGGCTTACTTGTATCCATACAAGCCAGTTAAGGTGCTTTATTTGAGTCAGTGTCACACAGAACATGACAACTCATAAAGAAAGACTATGCAGCATAATAAAACATCAAATACGTAAACATTTCCATGCGTCTCTGGCTAGCTTCTATTACGGTGTCTACCATGTACCTTGCTCTTTGAGCCACCCTCGCTCCTGGATGAAGCCCATGAAGGGAGCGATGCCGGTCCCAGGACCGACCATGATGACTGGGTTGCTGGCCTTGAAGGGCAGGCGGAACTGGGACTTGCGGATGTACATGGGGCACCGTGGACTTGTGGCCGTTGTCCGCAACCAGTTTGTTCTTCAGCCAGGTGGTGGCCACTCCCTTGGTGAGGCGCCCCGTTTTAGTCGTGTATTCCACCAGCACAGCACAGATGTGGATGCTATTGGGGTGGACCTACAAAGAAGGCATCATTAACCACTCTTTTTAGAACACACTATTGCAGGTTGACCTACAATGGACGCTTAAAGGTCCAATGCAGCGGTTTTCTATTTCAATATCAAATTAACTACCTCACTGTGGTTGTTTTCAATTAAAATAAAACAAAAATAGCTTCTTAGCAAAGAGAAATTTGTCAAGCAAGAATGTTGCTAGGACTGTCTTGAAGTGGTTTTGAGTGGAGAGGGGAGAAACTGAAAATGTGCTGTTATTGGCAGAGAGGTTTGGAACTCTTTCTTATTGGTCTATTAATGAACTTACTCGTTGGTGATGTCACCATTGAAGGCCAAAACTCCCTAACACAAAAACAGGCAGAAATGTAATGCTGTCTTTTCAAACAGCTCTTACACTAAAAGGGCATTATCATAATTTTCACAATTTCAAAGTATTATTCTAACCTCAGTGTAGAAATATACAGTTGAAGTCAGAAGTTTACATACACCTTAGCCAAATAACATTTTAAACTCAGTTTTTTCACAATTCCTGACATTTAATCCTAGTAAAAATTCCCTGTTTAGGTCAGTTAGGATCACCACTTTATTTTAAGAATGTGAAATGTCAGAATAATAGTAGAGCAAGAGGCCTAGACTCAGTTACACACTCGTCAGTAGGATGGGCAAATCCCAACTTATTGTGGAAGCTTGTGGAAGGCTACCCGAAACTTTGAACAAGAACATTTAAAGGCATGCTAACAACTACATTGTTATGTAACTTACCATGGAATGTGAGAAGAATAAAGTGAATAATTCAATTCAGAATATTTCAGCTTTTTTCTTTCATCACATTCCCAGTGGGTCAGAAGTTTACATACACTCAATTAGTAGTTGGTAGCATTGCCTTTAAATTGTTTAACTTGGGTCAAACGTTTCGGGTAGCCTTCCACAAGCTTCCCACAATAAGTTTGGTGAATTTTGGCCCATTCCTCCTGACAGAGCTGGTGTAACTGAGTCAGGTTTGTAGGCCTCCTTGCTCGCACACGCTTTTTCAGTTCTGCCCACACATTTTCTATAGGATTGAGGTCAGGGCTTTGTGATGGTCACTCCAATACCTTGACTTTGTTGTCCTTAAGCCCTTTTGCCACAGCTTTGAAAATATGTTTGGGGTCATTGTCCATTTGGAAGACCCATTTGCGACCAAGCTTTAACTTCCTGACTGATGTCTTGAGATGTTGCTTCAATATATCCACATAATTTTCCTTCCTCATGATGACATCTATTTTGTGAAGTGCACCAGTCCCTCCTGCAGCAAATCACCCCCACAGCATGATGCTGCCACCCCCGTGCTTCACAGTTGGGATGGTGTTCTTCGGCTTGCAACCAACCCCCTTTTTCCTCCAAACATAACGATGGTCATTATGGCCAAACAGTTCTATTTTTGTTTCATCAGACCAGAGGACATTTCTCCAAAAAGTACTATCTTTGTCCCCATGTGCAGTTGCAAACCGTAGTCTGGCTTTTTTATGGCGGTTTTGGAGCAGTGGCCTTCTTCCTTGCTGAGCAGCCTTTCAGGTTATGTCAATATATGACTTGTTTTACTGTGGATATAGATACTTTTGTACCTGTTTCCTCCAGCATCTTCACAAGGTCCTTTGCTGTTGTTCTGGGATTGATTTGCACTTTTCGCACCAAAGTACGTTCATTTCTAGGAGACAGAACGCGTCTCCTTCCTGAGCGGTATGAAGGCTGCGTGGTCCCATGGTGTTTATACTTGCGTACTATTGTTTGTACAGATGAACGTGGTACCTTCAGGCGTTTGGAAATTGCTCCCAAGGATGAACCAGACTTGGAGGTCTACACATTTTTTCTGAGGTCTTGGCTGATTTCTTTTGATTTTCCCATGATTTCAAGCAAAGAGGCACTGAGTTTGAAGGTAGGCCTTGAAATACATCCACAGGTACACCTCCATTGGCTCAAATGATGTCAATTAGCCTATCAGAAGCTTCTAAAGCCATGACATCATTTTCTGTAAAGCCATGACATCATAGTGTATGTAAACTTCTGACCCACTGGAATTGTGATACAGTAAATTATAAGTGAAATAAATAAAATTACTTGTGTCATGCACAAAGTAGATGTCCTTAACGACTTGCCAAAACTATAGCTTGTTAACAAGACATTTGTGGAGTGGTTGAAAAACGAGTTTTAATGAAGTGTATGTAAACTTCCGACTTCAACTGTATATATAAAACACAGGAAAATCATGTTTTGACTGCATTGGGCCTTTAATAAAACTTGGTCGTTTGACATTATCTAAATATACTTCCTAGTGGAAGACAGCATCTGCTAAATAACTATTGTAAATGTAACATGAAAAATAAATGTATTGACATAAGAGGAGTTAGGGTGTGGGGTCATTAGGGGTGATGTACTGGGATATATTCACTAGAAACATACGAAAGAAACGCCCGTTTTAGTTTTTTCTGTTGCAAAAAGTTTTGCTACAGTGCATGGATACACCTCTGTATATAGGCTCACCTTGGAGGAGGAGGCAATGGAGTAGTAGCGGGCCTGCAGACGGGGCATGAGCTCACACAGGTGGTCGATGGGAGGCCGCAAGGACGGCAGATCCTCCAGGATGGCCAGGATGTTCCTGTTGTCTTCCAGCACAAAACTCTGGTACAGAGCCTAGTGGAGACCATAACAACAACACTCAGCTGGGATAACATGGAGTAGGTAGAAGTTGCCCCTAACCACTGATCTGGAGTCAGGAATCTGGGTCAGATACATGAGGGTCAGATATATTTACCATCCTCCTAAATTGGTTAAGGTTGGAGTTAATCTGATCCTAGATCTACAGTGTCTTGCAAAAGTATTCATCCCCCTTGGCGTTTTTCCTATTTTGTTGTATTACAACCTGTAATTTAAATTGATTTTTATTTGGATTTAATGTAATGGACATACACAAAATAGTCCAAATTGGTGAAGTGAAATGAAAAAATTACTTGTTTCAAAAATTTCTATAATATAAATAACGGAAAAGTGGTGCGTACATATGTATTCACCCCCTTTGCTATGAAGCCCCTAAATAAGATCTGGTGCAACCAATTACCTTCAGAAGTCACATAATTAATTAAATAACGTCCACCTGTGTGCAATCTAAGTGTCACATGATCTCAGTATATATACACATCTGTTCTGAAAGGCCCCAGAGTCTGCAACACCACTAAGCAAGGGGCACCACCAAGCAAGCCGCACCATGAAGACCAAGGAGCTCTCCAAACAGGTCAGGGACAAAGTCTCCCGAGTGGCGCAGTGGTCTAAGGCACTGCATCGCAGTGCTAGCTGTGCCACTAGAGATCCTGGTTCGAATCCAGGCTCTGTCGTATCCGGCCGCGACCGGGAGACCCATGGGGCGGCGCACAATTGGCCCAGCGTCGTCCAGGGTAGGGGAGGGAATGGCCGGCAGGGATGTAGCTCAGTTGGTAGAGCATGGCGTTTGCAACGCCAGGGTTGTGGGTTCGATTCCCACGGGGGGCCAGTAAGAATAAAATAAAATGTAATGTACTCACTAACTGTAAGTCGCTCTGGATAAGAGCGTCTGCTAAATGACATAAATGAAATGAATAAATGAAGTACTGATCAGGGTTGGGTTATAAAAAAATCTCAGAAACTTTGAACATCCCACGGAGCACCATTAAATCCATTATTAAAAAATGGAAAGAATATGGCACCATAACAAACTTGCCAAGAGAGGGCTTCCCACCAAATCTCACAGACCAGGCAAGGAGGGCATTAATCAGAGAGGCAACAAAGAGACGAAAGATAACCCTGAAGGAGCTGCAAAGCTCCACAATGGAGATTGGAGTATCTGTCTATAGGACCACTTTAAGCCGTACACTCCACAAAGCTGGGCTTTACGGAAGAGTGGCCAGAAAAAAGCCATTGCTTAAAAATAAATAAATAAGCAAACACGTTTGGTGTTCGCCAAAAGGCATGTGGGAGAAGGTACTCTGGTCAGATGAGACTAAAATTGAGCTTTTTGGCCATCAAGGAAAACGCTATGTCTGGCGCAAGCTCATCACCCCGAGAACACCATCATGTTTTTCATCGTCAGGGACTGGGAAACTGGTCAGAATTGAAGGAATGATGGATGGCGCTAAATACAGGGAAATTCTTGAGGGAAACCTGTTTCAGTCTTCCAGAGATTTGAGACTGGGAAGGAGGTTCACCTTCCAGCAGGACAATGACCCTAAGCATACTGCTAAAGCAACACTCGAGTGGTTTAAGGGGAAACATTTAAATGTCTTGGAATGGCCTAGTCAAAGCCCCGACCTCAATCCAATTGAGAATCTGTGGTATGACTTAAAGATTGCTGTACACCAGCGGAACCCATCCAACTTGAAGGAGCTGGAGCAGTTTTGCCTTGAAGAACGGGCAAAAATCCCAGTGGCTAGATGTGCCAAGCTTATAGAGACATACCCCAAGAGACCCCCGTGGTCCTCTGTAGCTCAGCTGGTAGAGCACGGCGCTTGTAACGCCAAGGTAGTGGGTTCGATCCCCGGGACCACCCATACACAAAAATGTATGCACGCATGACTGTAAGTCGCTTTGGATAAAAGCGTCTGCTAAATGACGTAATTTTTGCAGCTGTAATTGCTGCAAAAGGTGGCTCTACAAAGTATTGACTTTGAGGGGGGTGAATAGTTATGCACGCTCAAGTTCAGTTTTTTGGTCTTATTTCTTGTTTGTTTCACAATAAAAAATATTTTGCATTTTGCATGTTATGTAAATCAAATGATACAAACCCCCAAAAAATCCATTTGAATTCTAGGTTGTAAGGCAACAAAATAGGAAAAATGCCAAGGGGGTGAATACTTTCGCAAGCCACTGTATGCTTAGGAGAAACTTTTCACATTGTGTTATAGGCTTATCAAGTTTGGGGTCAATTCCATTACAATTCAGTCAGGAAGTACATTTAAATTCTAATTCCAACTTTTCTCATTGCTTTCTCAAGTTTGCTTCCTGAATGAATTGACCCCAACCCTGAGGCTTAAGCGTACTTTCCCACTACCAATAACCCATCTTGTGTATGTTGAGGTAATCTTGACTACTTTGATTAGAATAGTAGAGAGAAGAGATCAGTTAACACGGTGTCAGAGCCACACACCTTGCCCTCGGGAGCAGACGAGGCCATCTTGCGCATGTTCTCCTGCTCCTTGGGGTCGGTGGCGTACTGGGCCAGCTCATACAGGACGTTGGTGCGAGGCGGGTGGATGATGTCCAGGTAGTGGGTCAGAGCCGTACGGTAGGTGGTGGGGCAAGGGAACGGGTGCTTCTTATTGGACTCCTCTGATAAACAGCATCAGATAACATCACATTAACATTGGTTATACAATTAAGGACAGTTTCCCAGACACAGATTAAGCCTAATCTCGGACTAAAAAGTATTCTCAATTAAGCTTTTTCTTTTTAGTCCAGGACTAGGCTTAATCTGGGTAAGGGAAACCGACCCTAAGGTTTAAAGTAATAAGACACAGTTGGTGATTACACAAAACCTTCTTCTGCTTCTAAAAAAGTAAATACAGTGAGAGTAACATTTCAAGAGATGTCCAAACAGAATGTTTGTGTTTAAGGATCTTCAAAAGACATCGAGAGATATTCGGAGGACTGAGTGAAGGTGTTGCGTCAGGTCAGTGCCGTACCATCAAGGTTATTGAGAGAGATAACCGTATCAAGGTCCACGCCAAGGATCTGTCCCAGTTTGTTCACGATTGCTGTGTCATTGGTGGGATAGACGGCAACGTGGTCTCCCGACTCATATCTACAAAGACAGAATGACAAAGGGTTTTCAAGTCATCTTTCCACTATGTGAAAAGGCACCATTTCATCAAAGAAGTGTAGCCTATTATTTTTAAGGAAATACTGTCTGGGAGGTAGAGATAGATTGGTAATGATACAAAGACAAAGTTATGGCTCTCTCTCTTACCTAATCTTGGAGCCTGTAATGTCCACTTCAAGGTGCATGAGATGCCTGTCACCTGCTTTGTTGAGCTTGCGGTTAACAGTGACTGGAGCCAGGAAGGGGTTTTTTGCATCAAAAGGCCTGGGGGGAAAATAATCATTAGAATTTCAAACCAGTGAACTGTGCACATCAGTAAGCAGAGACAACATGAGGTAAATCATAGAGGTGAACACCGACGGATGAAGCAGTGTTGCACTTTAGCGTTCCAACAAGGAAATCCCCTTTAGCTCCACTAGGGGGCAGTAATACTCGTTTTGAGTGAGAAATCTATAAAACATGAATGACAGACACTCTGTAGCAGTGATAAGTGAAGAGGATGGGGTAGAAGAACTCACGGTTTCTGGGTCTCAAAGCTCTTCAGACGCCCCAACTCTCCTGTGTACACCTTGTTCATGTTGATGTCATTGTGCTCCTTGAGCTCGTACTGACGAATGCTAATGTGGAGCGAGAGTTAATCTGCACATCACTCCTTCCATACTCTTTGTGTGTGTGAATTGAGGAGGGAAAATGAGAATGTGATAAAGACAATAAATTGGGCTAAGTACCTGGAGTCCTCTCCTGAAGCCTCCACTCCAAAGTGCTCGCACATGGCTGGCCAGAACTGCTCCCTCCATGTCACAAAGTCCTCCTCCAGGCTGAACGATGAAAATAAGTAGAAAACACCCTCTTATCAACTCCCATTTCCATCATTTGGCCATTCATTTGGATCTCTACATTAAGGGTCTGAAAACATCAGTCCCACTTTGATTCGGGAGCGATCCAAGGTTTTTTCCCAATTATCTCTCCTTCCTCCCAAAGTGTGCACTCATTCACTTCCCTTCACTGATTTGAAAGGAAATGACTGGTATAAGAAACGGTGGAAACTCTCATTAACCCATGCCTCCACCAATCCAATGCCTTTAGATTTCTGGGAAGTAATAAACTAGTGCACTCTTCAGGAGAAAGGAGATTGGGACGCACCCCCCTCCAACGCAGCCTCACTCACTTGCCGTCGTCGTCTCCCATGCCCAGGTCGAAGACCCTCTTGGCTCCCAGCTCCTCCAGCCTCTTGTCCACGTAAGCCCCCATGGCATTGTAGTGTTCATATGTCTTGTTACCCAACGCAAACACCTGCAGGGAGAGACATGTCAACATCAGTCACTCCCAGTTTAAAAACACTCATGTTCAACATATTGTATACTATGTACACAACATTTAAACACGCACACAAGACACACTGAGACATGCACACACACTGAACGCAAGCTCCTGCTGCTAGTACATTGTGAAAGTTTATCATCTTTCATTCAGTGTAATTAATGCAGTCTTTCCAGTCTAGGACAGAAAGACAATGGCAGGGATTGAAAGGAGCCCAAGTGACCATTCAGAGTGCCAGGCCAGATTCGCTTCAGTCAGAAGTAAAATTCTTCACCCCATTGAGGGCAGGACCGTTGGACCGACCTCAACAATGCCCAACCAGCCAGGACGGCACGCATGTCAGCTATGGCCGAAGCTAGAACTCAACCATACACATAAAGCCACGACTCACTAACTGTAAATCGCTCTGGATAAGAGCGTCTGCTAAATGACTAAAATGTAAATGTATTTTTTGCATGTTGGCATAACTCATCTCGGTCTCACACTAAAGTTCAACCATGTGAAATACACATTTGAAAGTGAACGCTTGGCAAATGTTTGTGAATGGAGCCAATTGGAGTTTTAATTGGGCAAACTCCTGGCCCTGATTATGAATGATGGGGGGAGAGGAGAGAGAGCGAGCGAGAGAGACCTAGAGATACTCACGGTGTAGTTGACTCCATCCAGTTTCCCGTCGGTCTCCTGCAGCCAGTCATAGAAGTCCTGGGCGTTGTCCGTGGGGTCTCCCTCTCCGTAAGTGGCCATGCAGAAGATGGCCAGGGAGTTGTCAATCTCAGCCAGACGGGTCAGCTCACACTGTGGATTAGAAGATGCCAGGACATTAGAGATTCGCTATCACATGTGCTGTATACCATTTAGGGCACTATTAGCTTTTCAATTTTACAGAACAGGTCCTTGGCTCAAGAGAGACTAATACTGATCCGCGCTATGTGAAATGCAAACAAACCCTGACTGAAGTGAATCCTGGACCAGTGTGAGTAGCGGGTCCAAGACCCAGGACCAGAGTACCAGGTGTTGTGACGCGGCAACATGAGTCGCATGGTACTTTTTTGCCCATTGTAAACAAGCTAGCTTGCTAACGTCATGTAGAATGCAAATCGCACCCTGAAACGGTTATTTTCAGATCTTCTGAAAATAACAATTTAGTAAAATTCTCAAACGATCCAGAAAAACGGAACCAGGGTAACGAATTTCAACGCCCTAAGTGTGTTCCTTTCAACCATATAAACGCTGATATAGGAATGTCGTTAGTTAGTTACCATGTCGTATTCCTCGGGGTCGGCAGCCATACCCTTCATGCCGTAGCGCTGGGCGTCTTTGGACAGCCGGTTGGCAAACTCCTCGCCCGTGCCTGTCTGAGAGCCGTAGAATACCACGATGTTCCTACCCTGGAGAGGGAAATAGCAGCAACAATTTTACTGACCACATGACCTGGCAGCCAGGAAAAAACTCCAGGGTTTCTGGCCCATGTTGACTCCAATGCTTCCCACAGTTATGTCAAGTTGGCTGGATGTCCTTTGAGTGGTGGACCATTCTTGATACAGGAAACGGTTGAGCATGAATAACCCAGCAGCGTTGCAGTTCTTGACGGTGCGCCTGGTACCTACTACAATACCCTGTTCAAAGGCACCTAAATCTTTTGTCTTGCCCATTCACCCTCTGAATGTCACACATACATAATCCATGTCTCAATAGAGTACCACAGTATGAGTCATAATACCCATAAAACATAGCGGGCAAACAGGGAATTGGTTCCAATAGTTTTTCCACCATTCATTTTTATTATCACAGTGTTGGGCTCTATATAGTCTCAAGGCTTAAAAATCCTTCTTTAACCAGTCTCCTCCCCTTCATCTACACTGATTGAAGTGGATTTAACAAGTGACATCAATAAGGGATCATAGCTTTCACCCGGTCAGTCTATGTCATGGAAAGAGCAGGTCTTCTTTTTTGTATACTCAGTGTATTTCACCATTTATGGTTCCCATGATACATCATTAGACAGTGAGCAACAGACACCAAACTAAATAACGTTGTACAATACCATCATTATTGTATTTATTTCACCTTCTGATATCTGAGGACTTTGCAGCCAAATCACACTTGCTTACTCAAGCCTACAGTACCAGTCAAAAGTTTGGACACACCTACTCATTCAAGGGTTGTTCTTTATTTTTACTATTTTCTACATTGTAGAATAATAGTGAAGACATCAAAACTATGAAATAACACATATGGAATCATGTAGTAACCAAACAAGTGTTAAACAAATCAAAATATATTTTATATTTGAGATTCTTCAAATAGCCACCCTTTGCCTTGATGACAGCTTTGCACACTCTTGGCATTCTCTCAACCATCTTCACCTGGAATGCTTTTCCAACAGTCTTGAAGGGGTTCCCACATATGCTGAGCACTTGCTGGCTGCTTTTCCTTCACTCTGCGGTCCGACTCATCCCAAACGGGTTGAGGGCGGGGGATTGTGGAGGCCAGGTCATCTGATGCAGCACTCCATCACTCTCCTTACACAGCCTGGAGGTGTGTTTTGGGTCATTGTCCTGTTGAAAAACAAATGATAGTCCCACTAAGCCCAAACCAGATGGGATGGCGTATCGCTGCAGAATGCTGTGGTAGACATGTTGGTTAAGTGTGCCTTGAATTCTAAAAAAAATCACAGACAGTGTCACCAGCAAAGCACCCCCACACCATAACACCTCCTCCTCCATGCTTTACGGTGGGAACTACACATGCGGAGATCATCCGTTCACCCACACCGCGTCTCACAAAGACACGGCGGTTGGAACCAAAAATCTCAAATTTGGACTCCACTGGTCTAATGTCCATTGCTCGTGTTTCTTGGCCCAAGCAGGTCTCTTCTTCTTATTGGTGTCGTTTAGTAGTGGTTTCTTTGCAGCAATTCGACCATGAAGGCCTGATTCACACAGTCCCCTCTGAACAGTTGATGTTGAGATGTGTCTGTGACTTGAACTCTATGAAGCATTTATTTGGGCTGCAATTTCTGAGGCTGGTAACTCTAATGAACTTATCCTCTGCAGCAGAGGTAACTCTGGGTCTTCCTTTCCTGTGGCGGTCCTCATGACAGCCAGTTACATCATAGCGATGTAACATGATGGTTTTGCGACTGCACTTGAAGAAACGTTCAAAGTTCTTCACATATTCCGGATTGACTGTCCTTCATGTCTTAAAGTAATGATGGACTGTCGTTTCTCTTTGCTTATTTGAGCCGTTCTTGCCATAATATGGACTTGGTCTTTTACCAAATAGGGCTATCTTCTGTATACCACCCCTACCTTGTCACAACACAACTGATTGGCTCAAACGCATTAAGAAGAAAATTCCACAAATTAACTTTTAAGAAGGCACACCTGTTAATTGAAATGCATTCCATGTGACTACCTCATGAAGCTGATTGAGAGAATGCCAAGAGCATGCAAAGCTGTCATCAAGGCAAAGGGTGGCTATTTGAAGAATCTCAAATGTAAAATATATTTTGATTTGTTTAACACTTTTTTGGTTACTACATGATTCCATATTTTTGATGTCTTCACTATTATTCTACAATGTAAAAATAAAGAAAAAACCTTGAATGAGTAGGTGTGTCCAAACCTTTGACTGGTAGTGTATATCAATTTCTCATGGTCAGCTAGTACTGCGCAGACCTAGGTTCAAATACTTTTAGCATTTACTCTTTCCTGCCTGGATTGCCAGATGGGCGGGGTTTTCACCATTTCGACTATTCTATCGATTCTATTGTACCAGAAAAGCTCAATCCTGCCCAGAACATATTTTAAATGATTTCAAATAGCATTTGAACCCAAGTCTGGACTGAGGAGTCAGGAGGATCCACTGCAATCCATCAAGCCGTCCTCTTCCTAAGAACCATTATGTAAAGCCAGTGTAGAAGCTAGACCATTATCCTTCCCACCCCCAATATACTGAAAAATTGAAAAACACTCACTGTTTTCTTCATCTTCTCAATAAAACTAGTATCTTGAGTAGAAGGTGCTCTGAAAGAAAAAGGAGACAAATGTTATGTACTTCCAAAGTCTATTGAGAAAATCATGCACTGAAAAATCAATATTTCACCATTATCTGCTGGGACATAAAACACAGCAAGTCAATGATGCTTTTCACAAGCAAGAAAAGCACACGCCTAGTACAGGGACCAAACGATCACTTTTCACACGAATAGTTTATCATCACACTATACACATTAATAGGAATGCTACAAGCATGTCATTGGAGGACCTTCACACTTTCCTATAGCCTCGTTGCCAGATCGGTTTGTGTTTTAGCCAACATTACTTGGCATGACAGTGAACAACAACAGAGGAGTTGGCTAAAAGAACGGCAGGCTATATTGTTTAAGAACCTATTCTCACTACGAGAGATTGCCTAGAGATTGAGCAAATACCCTCGGCTAGACCTTTTACTGCATTGTAAACTTGTTCACTTGTCACGTCTCGTACCCTACTTCCGGAGGTAGCGCATGTCACTGGCCGACAGTTGCCCCCCTCCAATCAAGGCAGTGTAAACAGAATTGCCAAACACTCCTACAATAACAATCGTAACAGCAGAGCAGTGTTTTTGAAACAGCTGAAATGTATAGACATTTTCCTTATTATTTGAGACTTGTTTTTTAGATTTTTTACCTGAACTTGCAGTAACAGCCTGTTACATTCTGAAATTGTCAGCGTAATGTAAAAAAATTATAAAAAACAGTCAATGGTGCTGGCTGGCTGCACTGAGCCACGTAAAACAGCTGATCTCAACTCCCCAGTGAATTACCCAAGTTTTTTTTTTTCTCGCAATTTGCTTTTACCACACGTAATGATTTGCATGATATTGTTAAAAATGAGGCCTGGTTTGTTCTAATGTTGTAAGGTAGGTCTACTGTACTTTATTATTCATATGAGAGGGGTAACCGTTCATTTCTGATAGGCTAGCGTTACATGATAAAGCATGCTGTTAGCTTTAGTAACTGTGCTTTTTTCTTGAAGTTAAAATGTAATGAGTGTTCAGATATGAAAATAAACCCTTTGTCTGCACGCTTGTGAATTGTTGCATTATTCAAGAGTGTAATGTGGTTTGCTTGCATTATTCAATAGAGTAATATGGTTAAGATGAAAAGTTGCTTGCATAGTTGAATAGTTAGTGAAAAGCATGCTTAATGGCTAGTGGCTATACTGGGATATTTGCGGTAAATTTAAAACTGCAGAGCAAGACCATTCTTTGCCCCCGAACCCTCTCTCGTCACATGATATTCCATTGCTAATGTAAATGTAAAAGATTATGTAAATTAAAATGTTGTCGCAGTGCCTCTGCTACAACTCTCTTCAATGTGAATAGAATCCAAGCCTAGAGTTTGAGAGTTGACAGATGTCCTCTATCTCTTAAATAAACACAGGGTAATGTAAGGGGGGTGTAAGGTGCTTAGCAAGGCCAATGATGTAACACATGGTCTAACAGTGTCCTCCCTGTCCTGACATTCTTTTAAAAGGATATTTTACTCAAAAAACATAGGAGTATATTGTTAATTAGTCCCCTGTAGAAACATTCCCCCCCAAAAGTGTGCATGTCAGCAGTTAAGTTTCATGACGGAGAACATTCAATAAAAATCTAAAAGTGTGATGGTGCATTTGATGCATTTTGCATCATCAGCCCACTTTTTGCTGCGTAAATATCCCTGGCTGTAACATGACTCACAGAATTGTGTTTGTTTATTTATTCATTTCCTTTCCATTTACTAGTAAGTATTACTCAAGTGTTACCGTCAGGCTAGGGTGAGTAACGTTCGCATTAAGAAGGAAAGACATTCAACAAATTAACTTTTAACAAGGCACACCTGTTAATTGAAATGCATTCCAGGTGACTACCTCATAAAGCTGTTTGAGAGAATGCCAAGAGTGTGCAAAGCTGTCATCAAGGCAAAGGGTGGCTACTTCGAAGTATCTAAAATATAAAATATATTTTGATTTGTTTAAAAACAAAACAAAATAATGTTTCATGACTTGGGAACAGGAAATACATTTATTTCCATGACAGACTTAAAAGTTACATATCACGCAATGTCAATTTGAAATCTTTTGGATATCAGAGCAACCTTGAGGGAATCTTATTTCAGTCAGAAAAGGATGTTCATATAGGGAAGATATACAAAACCTTGCAGAGAGCATATCCAACTGACAATCTCTTAGAAAAAATATAAACTATTGGAACCAAGACTTAAAAAGAACCGATGTTGGCACAAGTCAGAGGGAAAGTTGGAGCATATCTAACGAAATTACAATTAATGAAAATGTAAGCTTAATCCAGTATAAACTAACGTATTTTACAAGAGACAAAATTCATGTGTTCATTAACAAGGAAACATTTAACGTACAGTGTTGACATTGTAACCAACAGTGCAACGTTAGCTGCATATAAAAACAAAACAATAATTGCTGGTGCCAATCCACTGGACCTGGGACAACTGTAATTTCAACTATGCTCAAAATGGAGGGAAGAAACATGACTTGCTGTCCTCTCTCTCTTTTATCATGGCGTGTGTCTTAGTTCTGTGGCCTTACTCTCCAACTCTGCTTCCACTTGTTTTAATTAAAATATTTTCTCCTCATATCTCCTCCTGAGGGTGTTGGACTTGGTGATGTGCTGAGACATCAAGGTGCCGGATCTTCCCTCTGCAAATTTGTCTGCATCCTTCTCCAGGCTGCCAGATACCTCCAGCAGAGTTTCTTCTTTTTTTCCCCCAGCTCATCTATGTGGTCCTCCGCAGCTTTTCTCTTCTGCCCTTGCACAGCGCTTTCGCTCTTCCTCTTCTACTGGTCCAGGTGTGCTCTGTATTTTGACCTTGCTGATCCAGCAGAGGTCAGCAGCTCCTTGGTGAGAGGGACCTTAACAACACCACCACAGACTGTGACATAATCACATCTGTCTCTGGGTGATGACTGTACCCTCCTGCATGTTACAGGTTTCCACCTTGTTGATGGAGAAGCCTCTCTCGACGGCTGCCTGCCCATGGGACAAAAGAAGCAGCTTCTTACAGAAACCCCAAAGCTCAGGGTAGGATTGGCAGAGGAAGCCATGCAGGAACACATCCAGCCTCGTCTCTGTGGGCTGGAAAGAGAGGAAGTGCTCACATCACCTGTAACAAAACAGATTAAAGGAAATAAGTGAAAACTATTATTTAGATGATTCATCATTATATTACTTCAGACATAAGTTATAATTGTGTATACATTTGGTAATAAATCCTGAACAAAACCTCTTCCAGAACTACTCCTACCAGCAGAGAAACCTCCTGACAACTGCTTGTCTAGCAGAAACATATGCACAAGACTGCTCATCCTTTCCTGGCACCAGTCTGGGTACATGACAGTGGGTTCCAAACACGCCATCCGTCTTACGGTGGGGTATTTCAGGGGGCTCTTGTCCTGCACTTTCTTTTCGATGTTTGACATACCCTTCATGCAGTCCCTCCTAAACTCTAGGACAGTGAGCTCTCCTACACTGTTTTTTCTCAGCTGGGATAATGGGCCGTAAATAGTGCTGAATGACTTAATACAATAGAAAACTATCCTCACCATAATTTGATAGAAAGTAATACTTTAAATTCTCACATTACCTTGAGGACTGACTCGGCACGCAAGCCTGTCAACTTCCTTCGGGCGGACCCAATTATTTTGGTCAGCGACATCCAGTCTGATCATCTGCAGTGGAGTGATGTTCTGGAGGAGCTCCCTCTTGACAGAACGCCTAAGCAGACTATGCCAACAGGAAAGCTCAAAATGTAATGCAAATACCCCTTTAACCACATTCATCATTAAATACATGTATATTTCCACAACTCTCTTATCTTTATCATCACCTCTATCATAAGCTTCATATCATCAATAGTACAATCAGTGATAAGAGAGTTGAAATCAAATGGCAATACCAAATTGTGCAGAGCTAAAATATAAATAATTACCTTTATCAACCCTTTGCAGAGGAATGGCATCACTAGCTCGTCAGTCTGGTACTTGGTCAAAAAGGGACTGAAAGTCCTGGAGACAGCCATGAAGAACTGCAGTTTGGCCGAGATGAGCTGATCTTGCTGGGCTTTTCTATAGTGTCAAACGACCCTATTCCAGGGGTTGGGAGCTTCTTGGTTCTCACCACATCCACATACTTCACCATTGATTGCCATACTTCTATGGCCCTCTCCACCACAGGCAGGTTCTTAATTCACCAGTGGCCACAGAATGTAACGGGAAGACCAAGGATTTGGTGAGAGCAGTGTAGTCCTCCCTCCTTGCTGGCACATTGTGGAAAAGAATGTGCATGGCCCTCAGAACCTTTTCCAGCTGCCACATGGAGAAGCCACATTTGAAAGCGTTGTGTAGGGTGTTGAGGCCGCAGCTCCCCACAACAACCAGCTGAGCACCACCATACTGTTCATAGATCCTGATACATATTTTTTCTCATTAGCTAATTATGGCAATGTGAACGTAACAATAACAATTAACTAACATTTGCTAATACATAATATAAATAACATTAACAATATTTCAATAAATCGACTGAAAACTTACTTTGAAATGTTGCAGTAAATCCCGAGCTGTTGCATGCCCCATGAACTGCGACCCCAGGTAACTTGACTGAACGTGATTTCCCTCCCAATAGCGTATATGCAGGTCCAGTTGTTTACTTTTTGTCGTTTGGTTGAGGCTTTCGTCAAATATCATAGTGCCAAGTTGAAGGACTTCTTGCAAAAGATACAGCGTGCTTCGTATTGATTCCCTTCAACTGATTTTAACCACGAAGCAAAAATGCTGTTCTCCAACCAGTTCTCGTTGAATTTGCACTTTCCCATGGTAGCTGCAGACTAACGTTAACTGTCTACCGTAGTTTCAAGTCGACCTCCGTTACTACTTCACCACAGCCAATCTCTGCTAGCTAATAGATAAATACACGAGCTGCGGTCAGAAGTCACGAGTGTCTCGCTGACTTCTGACCGCTGCGGGAA